TCCACCAACTAAAAAAACTGTAAAATTATCAATAGGACTAAGACATGAACTGCCGTAAATATATCCTACTGGCATTATGATATCATTATGCCATGGTGGTTTAGTTATATTAAATGAATTTGTTAGATCAAGATACCAGACTTCATTAGATGCAGAATAAGTTGTAATTGCACCACCAAAGAAATAAAGCTTAGTGCCAACTAATGTACTAGTTTGCAGACTTCTAACGTCAGGAATAGTCTGATCAATAGCAAAACAACTTATCGAGCTAAATATAGTAAAAATAAAAATACCATAAGGAAAATTCATATTAAAGTTATTAAAGTAATTTTTTTCTAAATCAGAATAAATGAATTTAATTCCGCTATTTTAAATTTTCATCACAATACTGTATTTGCTGTATTTGTATAAATTGCAATTAGACTTTTAAGAAAATACAGTACATACTGAGTTCTATGTAAAGTAGTATAGTATGAGATACAAAAGTAGTTGAGTAGGATTACAATTTATTATCATACTCATATATATGATAAAACTATTATACTGATTATACTTATATGTAGTAAAATAATTATAGCGATCATACTTAAGTGTAGCAAAACAATTATATTGATCATACTTATGTGTATATAATAATACATTGATAATAAAATATTGATTATTTAAATGATATAAATTAAATTACATATATATGATTATAAAAGATTGATTAGGCAATTGATATTATAATATTGATTAGGCAATTGATATTAAATAAAATTTTCGTAACGATAGTTTACTAGAATTTTTTTCATTTACAATCTTTTGAACGGATAAGATTTTTCATTTACAATCTTTTAAACAGGTAAAATATATTGTTAAATGTATCAGTATATTTTAGAAATTTTAGTTTTTATTAAATAAAAATAATAAAATTTTTAGAATTTTTTTAAAATGGAAAATTTTAATATTCAAATTATTGATGGAATTGAAACGATTTATGAAGAAGATCTTAAACATCTTGAGAGTTATGAAACCATTGAAGTAACTAATAAGTTATGATATTTTAAAAAGTAAATATTTAAATAATTAATTAAAATAACTAATTATTTATACTATAGCATTTTACTTCAGATGAAGAATCTGATAATGTTGAATATGATTTGACTACTATATATGAAATTAATAATAATGAAAGTACAGTAACTTACTTTACAAAGGAATTAACAGCTAAAATTGTTAATCATACATTAACCCCTATTGAATATCCTGCAACAAGTCTGGAAGGTGTTGCTTACATATTTAATATTGAAGATTGGAAAGAGCCGTTAGCTGCATTTAAAGATGTAAGTAATATAATTTAAAAATTTTTTAATTATATATAGTAAATAAATTACTTTAATATATTTGTAGATCCAGTATTCAATTGGTAAACCTTGTGGTGAATACAAAGTTATATGCCCTTATCTTAATGTTAAAGTAAAACGGAAAATGCGCACTTGTCAAGGCTCAAAATTATGTGTATTTTCTGCTGATGAAATTCAAAATGAAACACATCAAAATGTAGATATTAATTCAGATTTTATGACAAAAATTGCACAAGAAATTTCCTCTAGCAATTTAAATAATAATACTTTTGAGTAAGTTATTAAAAATAATTTATTTAATAAGTTTTTTTTAAAATTTATATTAATATAATTATTTATAGATTTTATTTGGCTGCTCAAGAAACATCATGTAAATTTCAACAAAATAGTAAATTATATGAAAGAAAACCAGTACTATGTCATTTAACTCATCAAGATTCTGTAGAATTTACATATTTTATTAGATGTGTAAATTGGAAGTTTAATGAAAAATATCATTGATTTATATATGTTCCTTCAAATATAAATATAGATGTTTTAAATGATTTATTTAATGGCACATATGAAGTAATTATATATATTAATAATATTAAATAAATTATCTGTGCAACTAAAATTTAGTAAAATTATTATATGAATATAGGCTCTATTTTATTAATATTTTAAATAATTTATTAAATTTTTAGTTGTGCAGTTAATCTATTCTATTTA